TTCTAGAGAGAGTGAAACCAGGCTTGTCTTTGGCAGCAAGAATCCTGAAGCTCTGTCTGACACACTTTGGTCATGTTGTAAGGAGGGACCAGTCCTTGGAGAGGGACGTCATGCTTCGGAAGGTGGAGGAACAGTGCAGGAGAGGAAGACCCTTGATTGTATGGATTGATTCAGTGACTGGGGTAATGGGGGTCAGAGACAGTGAGATTGGCACAGGACAGAGCAGAGTTTAGAGCTGTTATACACAGGGTTACTAAGAGTCGCAAGCGACTCAATGGCATCCAATAACAACAATGAATATACATTCTCTGTTTCCTAGGGGGTCCGCTATGGCTGAATTATTGTTTGATGGAACAACAGAACCACCTGTTCGGAAAGGCTGACAATCCTTACTCCTTCTTAAGTAGTAGCCATAACCCTTAGCTTCGGCTTGTAAAGCCAGTAAGCCAATTTTGGACTGGTTTCCTTGCTTTGTTGGGAACAGAAAGCACAGTGAAAACATGATGATACATTTTCTCCAGTCTGAGAGGGTCAGCTCGCTCTAACACAAGGCCAAACAAACAGGATCCAAATAATGCATGACCACCTTACTTCCACCCCCACAATGGGGGAGTTTTTACAGCTTCTTGCTCCGTTTTCCTAGGGCCTGCCAAATATCTTGGCAAAGTACTTAACTTCTTCCATCCCTTTGCTCAAACCGTTGTTAATATTTCTGCTACGGAATCAGCCAGTCAGTGGCTCCTTGCCCTACAATTGGCAGCTTGTTTTCAATTTGTCTCATGGCTTTTGTCTGCAGCCTGAACTCTGAACCTGTGCAGTCACTCACTGTGACACACATGGGCTTCCTCAGCTCCTCCCTCCACCAGCAGCGGGGAGCCTTAACAACAACCTGCCTGGGGTTGGGGGCTTCTAAGACCAGGGGAGACCTGCACATTCTAGGTACCCAACCCCCACAGCTTAACTGGAAACAGAAGTTAGATTGTCTCAACCATGCACAGGAGCTTTGATTTTCTCTGGCTAAGAGCAAATGTTATCTAAATTGGCTCTTGCCTATAGCACACGTCTTGCACCTAGAAGGCATAACACATCTTGCGGGTGCTTTTCCCGTCTGTTTCACAGAATGACCAGGTGCCAGGGGCTCATCACCCTGCAGGTCTTAGCTTGTGATGTCACAACACACAAGAGTCAGCTTGACATTTCTCTAGCTGTTTGCCCTCAAACATTAAGCTGAACAGTATGAAAATACTGGTTTGAAGCCGAACACTATGAAAATACTCTTCAGAAAAGAACAAATATTGGCAATCTCTTATGGTTCCCTTTAATAAAAAGGAATAACAAAAACTATCATTTGTGGAGAGCTTTTGTGAGACTAAGTATTCTAATATTTGTGAGACTTTAAGTATCCTATCTATTTCAGGGCCTCTCATAGTGCAGTCCAAAGGGAAGTACAAATCCAAAGGCCACTCCTCTCTGGCAGTTCGAATCCACCAGAGAAAAATCCACCAAGGGAGAAAGATGAACAATCTCCCTCTGTGCAATTGACATCCTCCCCAAAATGTACTGGAGGGTTGGCTATGAGTCAGTTCTGAATCAACACCAGTAAGGGTTGGTTGTTTGCTTTTATGACCTATTTTAATTCCTGTTCATGACATTCTTACATCAAGGAAATAGCATTATTCCCATTTTACAGATGAGGTAATTGAGGCCCCGAGAGGGGAAGGCAATTCAGTGAGGACACTAAAAACAGCTGTATTGGCTTGTTTCACGCTACCACCTGGACACTTTCACTTGCATAGATTTCATCTTCCAGAACTACTGTTTTTTGCACCGTGCTCCCCAGCTCCCAGGTTACATCTTCGACTACATCTCCAATATGTGAACACGTGCTCATTCCATATTCTTGTCATGAAATCATTTGCCCAATCACTGTAGAACTCCCCCAATCCTTTCAGGCTCACGTTGAATGTCTCGTGGGCCATGAAGTTCCCTTGCTTCCTCTAGAATATGTAGTTGTTTCTCCAAACTTCACCACTCTGCCAATGCCTGCTTCAGTAGTGACCACTGTTACTGGGCTACTACTGAATTCTTGTCTGTCCCCTCTGCAGAGTGGGGAATGGGCACATTTATTCCGTAAGGGCCCCAAACCCACTATTGTCCAATTAATTCTGGCTCAAGCAATTCTGTTGGACAAAGCAGAACTGCTCTATGACATTTCCATTTACAAAAGCAGATGGCCATCTTCCTTTCATGAAGCAGCTGGGGGGTTTGAACTGTTGACCTTTTGGTTAGCAACATAATTTAACCACTGCACCTTGAGATCCTTGAAGGATCAGATGATAAGTATTTTAGGCTGTGCAAGCGGTACAATGTCTGCCATAATTACTCAACTCTTCCATCACAGTGCAAAGACTCCAAGTCCATGTATGAACATGGCTGTGTTTTTAATAAAACTTTATTTATTAAAAAAAGTAAAATAAATCTGGTAGTGGGATTTGGACTGTGGACTTTGGTAGCTGATCCTTTTCTTAGTTTAGCTATTCCTGTTAGCTATTGCATTTTTCCACCATCTCTATTTTTACTGTGCTGTTTAGTGTCATGCGCAGCAGTCGTAAATACTGGTGGGACTAAGTTAAAAGTTGTGGGCATCAGAGATGCTTTCTGTTGGTTATTGCTGGTCCTGTGAACTCGGCAGACCCTGCTCCCCTGCAATTGTTGTCTGCACACACCAAGGTGCTGTTGGAACCTCTTGACCTATGGCTCATGTCCCCGTAGGCCTCACAACGCTTTGCCTTGAAGCTTCAAAGGCAGGCGGACTTCTAAGGAGCCATAAAACAGCATATTTTGTCAGCCCTACTCCTTCAACTCGGGAAAACACCTGTCCGGTTGACAGTTGGCGAAAGTCACCTTAGGCTGGGATTGTGCTAATGCAACAGGCGATTTCTGCCTGCAAAGGAAAGGGCAAAGTGGGTTTCAGGGTACTGGAAAAAAAAACCCTGCAAAGGTTTAATCTTTTAATTAGTTGGCTAGCCAGTCTGTAATTAGCTTTATAATGGAGATCCACTCGTTTTTATTGAATTGAGTACAATCCTATGTACAAGAATCTTGAGACTCCTGTGGGTCCTTCCATGGGATTGATTTCCGATTACAATGGCTCATCAACATTATATTCTTCAAGTGCGACAGACTCAATTCTTTCAGATATTATCTGTTGTATTTTATGTTCATCTCTATCCTCCAAGTTCTTGGACAAGCTCAGTTGCTCATCCAGCCAGGGTTCTTATCCATTGTTAGTCCTTGTCCTTGGTGAACTCTGACTACAATCTAACGTAAAACACCTGATGATAAGATGGATATGTTCTGAATACCACCGATAAGAATGAATTAATTATACAAAATGAAGTTAAGAATATAAAGAAAATATTGCTCAGGGATATGTAATGGTCAATAACTAGCCTGCCTTCAATGTTTATTTTCTATTTTCATAAAGTTCTGTCTTGCCTGGATCTTATATTAGAAAATCAATGTTGATGAAAACGGATTACACTTAAGCATATGTAGGAGCTCTGGCAGCCTACTGGCAAGAAGCTGCGCTGCAATCCTAAAGGCTCGTGGTTTGAGGCACCAGCTGCCCTATGAGAGAAGGATGGGTAATCTGCCTCTAATAACCCATTGATGGGCCAGGTACGGGTTGGTCCCGACTCTATGGTACACAATAACAAAAACAATAACAGATAAATACCCAGTTTGGGAACTTTGATAATGAAAGTAACTGATGAGTGATTCATCTTCTGTTCCTGCCTCTCCCCTGGTTCAGCCTGTTTAGCAGACACCACACCAAATGCTCTGCATAGAGGGCATGATTCTTGTGATTAGCAAGAAGAGGCTTTAACAGAACAAGAAACAAAATACTGCTCTTTACTGCCAGCATACCCAGGTTTTTCACCCTTACGTAGCATGAATTATAGCCATGGGGAGACTGCTTGCTCCCTCATTTCCTCCCCCCATCAACCTCTCCTTTGGATACCCCCACCTGAACTCTCTAAGGCTGACAGTGACATCAACAAGGTGAAAATAGATATTTGAAAGCCATTATCTGAAATCTACTTTCACGGGGTGACTGTGTTCCTCCCCAAAATATGTGCCAGCTTGGCTGAGCCATGATTATCGGTGGTTTGGCAGTTATTCAATGATGTAATCAACTCCCCTAAATGTGACCTGAGGTGATGAGATAAACAGTTGCAAGAGGATAAGGCACAACACCCTTACAGATGTAAGGGGAGATTCCCTGATGCATGGTCCTGAATCATGAATCATTATTTATCTTGTTGTCATTTACTGTTGCATCAGGACCAACTCTGTAGCAGATTTTCAGAGTCAGTTTCAAGGGAGTTGATTGCTCATCCTTCTCCTACGGAGCAGCTGGGTGGATTTGAACTGTGTGCCTTTGGAATGACAGCACAATTCCTTACCACAAAGCCACCAGAGCACCCTTTCCTCCAGACCTGCCAGAGAAAACCTTCCTGATAGAACCTGCATCCTGAATTAGGACTTCTAGACTCCTAAATGGTGAGCTAATATAGTTCTGTTTGTTAAATCTATCTATGCTTGGCATTTCTGTTACAGCAAAACTGGGTAACTAAGACTGCTGCAGTGTTTGCCTTTCAAACAGATTCACGTTGCCATAACCAGGTCAGGTCCTGTGACTCTACTGCTGTGAAACTCAGAACACCTGAGCATCATTATTAAATGATATTCATTAATATCACCAAAGAAAACTAATGATAACAAATGCTCCCACTCCCTGCTGCCTGTCTATTCAGCTGCCTAGAAACGTTGAAAATGTGACTCATAAGCAAACCCTTTATTTCTGCTTGTTCTAGAAGCTGGCCTGTCTGCCTTGTAGAAAGGCAGTGTGGAAGGAAAAGGCGGTGGGCTGAGGAGAAAGATGGGAAGCAAAGGAAAGCTTGAGGTTTGGCAAGTTAAACGTTGTTGTTACTCACATGTGTTGGGAAGCATTGGGGTACAGTTTTGAAAACTGTGGGGCTGAGTCCTCGGGACCGTGGGGTGCAGCGTGGCTGATCACCATCATAATGGGCCTATGGGGATACATTCTCTTAGACATTTTGAAGTAATTAATGCTCTCGTTAGTGATTAAGTCTGTGAAGTAGTCCTGAAACATATATTTGACACAAAACAGAAATTACAAAAGGTGACATTCATCAGATCACATTTCAATACTGCTTTTCCTCAGAAGCAACCCACTCAATGAAGAGTTAAGGTCTAAAGGGTTGGGGGTAAATGGTACCTCCCCAGGGCAGCAAAAGGTCTTCAACAAAGGAAACAGGTGCCAGGGACTTTCTAGGGCTGCTGGTTTGCTAATATGCAAAAAATTCACTTTAAGTCATGCACAACTTAGCAATTAGAGAAGAAAAAAGACAAGTTGTGTTTGCCCAAGATAACGATCAGATTTGGCAATACAAATGCTGGAGCACATGAGACATCAGCCACATAGTTCATTTTAAGGTTTTGGTGATGTAATTTGCTCAGAAAAAAAAAATCAAATTACTTCAAGGGCAATAAACATCCACACCCACTACACAATCTGTTACGGAATACACACATACACCCGTGCTGCTTGCACATGCCACACACCCCAATGATAAAAGAACTTTTTCTTAGAATTAAAAATCCACCTGTGGGAATCACATAGTAATCACTAAGCAAAATCACAAAATCTGAGGACACAGGCAAATGCTGCAATACTTTACCAATTAGTTTACTTTGAAATTGTTAAGTTTAGGAACAGTTGTTTGCCTGTCGTTTATATGTTTATAATTGCACAATTAAAGGGCTGGGATCCAGGACTGACTTGTTAATAAAATAACTTAATCTGCAGTCAAGGGGGCTGATGGAAGCCTATAAAAGAAGGGACAAAAGGATAGACAAAAACTTAAATTAAACCACCTGTTCCTCTAAGTGGCTATCACTGGCCTGGAGCTCCAGTATAAGCTGTATTCAGTGAGCAACTGGGCAATGCTCACAATTTCAAGGGCTTTCAGGCATGACTAATCACTTGTGGATTCAAGGACCCAGACAGCTGCAAAAGCAATGCCGGAGGGAGGAAGCCTGTGTCACGTGTCACTGTTAGGACAAGCCTACACGCTATTACCTTTCTCCATGAGGATGTCTATTTTATTCCTTCCCTCATTAAATAAAGAAAATAAATATGCTTTTTGACATAGTAGTCTTAGGCACTGAATCAGCTGTGCTAATGCGAATGTTAGGCTGTTTTCATGTTTGGAGGGAGTTGTGATTACTCTGCCCTTCTCAGGACAACAGGGACAGAAAGGTTAATAGCTTGAACAAGGCTCATGAAAAGTGTACCCACAGATACAAAAGGGGACATGTGGTGAGAATGTGTGTTGCACAAATGGTTTGCATGCGATCAATGTATCAACAACTGGGGATACGACCTTCGGTGGATGAGTGGTTGAACCCTCTAGACTTTGTTACCCCCAACTTTTAAAATGAGGACATTGCTCAAGTTGGTCTCCAAGGGCCCTGGCCAGCTCTCTTATCTGATGAGCCTTAAAGCCTATTAACAGTGCTTGTGAATTCATTTGCATTTATCACTTTTTTTAAGGGTTTCTGCAAGGTGGGAACTTATTTCATATCAAGTCTCTTGTGCTCACGTCAGGGCGAGCACAAAGACAGCAATGTGCCCAAATTAAATCTGGATCCCTCTCTGCATTTCCTACCCGCTGCCTTTTGGCATGGGCGCTAGATAGGGAAGGTTCCTGGCTTACTTCAGATCATTGAGGAAGAGGTGGGTATGGCTACAAGGGAAGGGGGGGGGTTAGGCTTAATTAGCAGACTATTCTCCCCTTTACAGTGATAACCATAAAAGCACATTTTAAAATTTAAAATGACAATAATAAAATCTCTGTGAATTTTTAGGCCCAAAGTAGGATTCTGTTGTCAGGGGTCCAGGGTCCTTAGAGACTGCCCAGACACATCAATTTGTGCTTCTGTGAAATGATTTGGAAACCTAGGATTGCTGGCCTTTCTCTGCCACGGGGCTGCAGTCCTTGTCACATATGCTATGGTTGGTCAGACAGGAGTGAAAACAAGGAATGTGGGTTTCTAACCTTTGATTATCTCTTTTGTCTGGTTTTATTCTTACATCTGAGTCAGAAGCCACAGACAAAATAGACTTTCACTTTCAATGAGAAAGCTAGTGCTACAAGAGGAACATTTGATTATGTGGCCCAGTCCTCCTGAGGGGGAGCCCCCCCCCATGTTATAAGAAGAGAGATCAGAGACATCCATGATTTTCTTGATGATACTTTCATCAGGGCCTGATTGCCTTTCATCTTAATGAGTGAAAAAAAAATCACTATACAAAGGCAGTGTTCCTTGAGAGTCTTTTCCTTGCCTGGAGTTTAAAATGATCTTAAAATTTCCCATTCTAATATTGTGGAGAACACAGAAAGCCAATCTTGAGGCGAGGCTAGCTCACTGAAAATGCCCTTTCCTCTATTATGCACAAAGAAAATTGATGCAATGTAAAAGTGCCGAAAATTACCTTTGCATAATCAAATCCATGCTTTTCTTTGATGCCATTGCGACAAACAGTGTAATTATAGAAACGAGAATTCTTGATTAATCCGAGCCACTCTCGCCACCCAGGAGGGATATAGCTGCCATTGTATTCATTGAGGTATTTTCCAAAAAATGCTGCAATGGGGGGAGGATAAAAAAAGATTCTCTTCTTACATTAAATAATTAATCATAAACAAACACATAAATACATAAATATGAGATTATGACTGGAAAGACAGTCAAACAAAAGCTGACCTAAGTAACTCAGCAAATTCTAAAATCAAATGAGTATAATATTTGGATTCTTTGCCAAAGTGACAGGAACGTATTTGCCTTTTAAACAAGTAAAGTGCCCAAGTACATGGATTAAGTTTGAAAATCACCATTATGATCACTGTACCCTGGCTGCATTGCTTTCTTGTGGTTCTATGGAAATAAAAGCAAAGTGTACCCTTGTGTTAGACCAGTGCTGCAATCAGAAATTGTAGCCAACGTGAGGGCCAAACTCAAAATTTGGTCTTTGTAATATGTTTTCTAATAGGCGAGTTATGAATTATAAAAACATTACAAAAAATCTTTTAAAAGTTCTTATTTTCTGAGAGCGTGTATATTTTCAAGACCAAGAAACCACGGTAAACTCCAATCCTTATGGGACAGTCCAGGATTTTTGTGGTATTTACATCATGTGCTTTATGCCAAGTATACATCTATTACTGATGATAAAAAATTCCGGCAATATACATTACTAGGATCTGTGGAAGGTACAAAAGGTTAAGGTGCTTGGCTACCAACTTAAAGGTTGAAGGCTCAAGTCCCAGAGATGCTGCCGAAGAAAGGCTAAGGTAATCAAGTTCTGAAAAGTCAAACACTGGAAATTTTGCACAGTGTAGTTCTGCTCTCCCACTTGAGGTTGTAATCAATCAAAAGTACATGGACAGAAGCTGGCTCTGGCTACTTAAAAGAACCGAGAATGGTAGTTTCTGGAATACGATGAGGAATCAATCAGATTCCAAAATCAAAGCCTTATCTTGAGATTGCTCCTAAAGCATACATTTCTGTAACTTCTCTGATGTACAGTGTCTCTCCATTTTAATGAGACAGATAATTAATGCCCTCTCATCTTTGATACACAAATACCCATAAAATACCTCCACTTGAATGTCATACTTACTTATTCCTTAACTGTCCAAACACATAATCACCTCCCCCTCCAGCACTTTAATCCTCTTTTCATATATCCTCTAATTTTATTAACAGCATCATCTTCCTCCCTGTTAGCCAAGCCTGACAACTAGGGGAGACCTCTGAGTGCATCTGCTCCCAGAGCATCTCCCTCCACAGCAACTCTCTAATCTGTCTTTTCCGCAATTCCATGACATTTTTAATGAGCATGTTAGTGGTCTCATGGACAACTCTCCTAGTCCACACTACAGAGCCTTTCCACTCTCACTGCCACCAGGAGGTCCTCCTGGGGCTCTGCTCTTTTCACGTCATGCCTCTGCTCCAATTTCAGATGGCCCCTCATTGCTTACAGACACAAACTGACCTTGCTCACAAGTTTACCAGCAAAGCTACTTTAAGTCTGGACCAAACCCTTCTCTTTTAAGCAACTGTCTCACTGTTTTTGTTACACATTCATCCTTGTAGACAATTTTTCGTTCTATGACTCTCTACCTCTGTCTTGATTGTGATACTCCATCCATTTCCCTTTCCACATACCAAGGACAGATTGATGCCATTTCACACACAGTCCTCAAACTCAAAGCACATTCTCTCTCCCATCCTTCTCTGTCTCTTCAGGCAGAGCGATGCTCTGATATAAGACAAAAATAAGCGGCCACTCAGTGAATTCCAAACCAGGGTAACTCCATGTGTTTTAGGGTAGAACTGTGGGTTTTCAATGGCTGCTCTTTTGGGGAAATTGACCTTTAGGTTTTTCTTCTAAGTTAACTTGAACTGTGAACCTCTGAGTCAACAGCCAAGCATTTAACCATTTGTACCACCCAGGACATACATAAGACTGTTAAGAGTTTTGAGGGGAAATATCTCCTTTACCCATCTTTGTATGCTCCTCAAATCACATTGTAGGTTCTCCAACATTTTGTTTTGAGAACTGAGGTTTTTGGGCCCAATGTATTCTGGGGGATTCTACAGGTTGTAGGCTTTTTCAGCTTTGTATTTTCATCTGAATACTACTTTTAAAAAACACCCCAATTTGGTTCTCCTAAATGTTTTCACAGAACAGAGCTTCTGAGTTTCTGAAGTTGACATTTCCTGCCAGCTTTACTTTCTTTGGAAAGAGTAGGCCCTTGAGCTTGAGAAACATAGCAATATTTGTTTATTTGTTGAGTAAATGTTTATTTGTTGACTCTGGGAATGAGCAAATCAATCAAGTGGTAATTCAGCCAACCGCCAAGTGCTTGAGAAAGGCCAGGATTCCAGGAAGGCCACGAGCAGAAGGCGGGTGGGGCCCTGTCATGAAGGGCAGTGTCAGAGATATTTTTCGAGATTTTTTTCTGAACTATGTGTAGTTGGCATTCTTCTGATGAGGGCCTCTTGCCTTAGAGTCTCACCAGTACTTTACTTGGCACCAGAGATAATTTTTCCATTTCTGACAAAATGCAGTGTGACTTGGAGTCACTGGCAGGGGGCCAATGCCACACCTCACCAATATTAATTCAGAAAATGGTGGCTCCTAGGAGCCTCAGGTCCAGCTCTTTCCTCTGTGCCCCTCCTCATTCTTAAAGGGGCATTTTCTCCTTTTGTTCTCAAAGTAAAGAGCTTAGCAGTTAGGAATACAAATCCTGTTCCAACCAGCCTGGGTTCAAATTCTGAGCCAGCTATTCAATAGAGAGGGCTCTGTGGTGGCACAACCCAGAACACGCTGTGTTGCCATCCAAAAGGTGGATGTCTCTGGTGGCTGGAATCAAGAAGCAGCTCAGAGGGAGAAGGACGAGGAGTAGGAGTCTCCTCTAAGATTTACAGCCTCAGGAATCCAATGAAGAGTTGTTACCACTCAATGAACTGATGGCAGCAAGTTGAGATTTGAGAGTCTGATAGCTCTATGGGTAATTTGTATGACTTTTCTGCCCCAATCCCTTACTTTTCTGTAAAAGTATGATGCTGCTCCTCCTGCTGAAGCTAATATGGCTGAGCTCCATTAAATGAACTAATATAGGTAAACCGTTTAAAGCATAACCGGGCAGATACCAAAGGCTCACTAAGCTTTACTTATCAAGTATTACCAGAGACCTTGGGTGGTTCCAAGAGTGAACATACTCATCTGTTAACGGAAAGGTTGTAGTTTTGAGTCACAGAGGAACTTGCTCAGCCTGATGATCCTATTTCTGAAAATTCAGTCACTGAAAATCCTGTGGAGCACATGAAGTCTCCATGCGTCAGAATGGACTCAGTTGCAGGTAGTGAAGAGCTACTAGAATTAGTACAAGGAGATCTGGGGGCATATGGGTTAAATACTGGGCTGTTTACAGAAAGGTCAACAGTTCAAATCCACTAGCCACTTGGAAGGAGAAAGGCTGTTTGCTCCAGAAAAAAAAAAAAATAATAAAAATTTAACAGCGTCAAAAGCTTATAAGGAGTCATATGACTGGGAACGGACTCAAAGGCCATGGGTATGAACAACTTCTTATTAGCACTGACATCGTCATCATTATCCTTTCTACTCTTCCTTCTAATCTTTTTTTTTAAATTTAGTTTTCATTTCAATGAACATCTACAGAGATTTTTGAATTCCATTCATTCATTGTTGCACCCTTCTCCCCGCCCACCCCCCCTTGTTTGCTCCTCTCCTTGAAAAGCAAAAGAAAAACTCCCTCATTGGTACACATCACATCCCCCAACCACACCCCCAACCCCAAATATAATCCACTCTGCAACCCTCATTCCGTACTCTTACGTTAAACATAGTGCCCTAAAATTTAATATGTTTATGGCACTGAAGTCTATGGGGGAGAGAATAGTCTTCCTTCTAATCTTAAAGAATTCAGCAACCTGCCTAGAATTCTGTATCACCACCGCAGTCTGACTTATTTTGGGCAAGATTCTACCCTACTTGGCTTATAGGTTGCTTTGTTTAGTTCCTGCTGCTATCAGATTTTGTTGTTCTTTTCCCTCTCAAGGAGCCATGCCAAGTCATTCTTACCCCTCCCTCACTGTGTTACATCTTCGAGTATTTTTACATCACTTTCTACCCACCACCATGGCTATTGCTCTTTGTCTTTATTCTCCCCTTTTAAACAATTCCTTCAAGTCTCTTACTAGCTTCAGCAAATGTATCCTATTTCTCTTGCTTGCTTCAGGACTCTTCCAGGTTTTCGGTATCTTTGTATTAATGGAGTGTGAAAAATGTACTCCGTATTCCAGATGTGCTCGCACTGCACATGCTCCAAGAGTGGCCTCACCTCCGGGGAGCGTCACCACGCAGCACCTCCATGCGCTCTGCCTCTAGTTACTCCAGTCCTTCTTGTTGCCTTGCAACCCTGAGACTCATTTGTAATCACCTCTGGCCCCTTTCAGCATTCTGCTTCCTGGCAGTGCTCTGCAATTGATTATCTGGGCTTCTAATTATTTTCCTCCAGATGTATTAAATCTCTTTTCCCTCCCCAAGGTGGATTTCATTTTCTTGCTCATGTTGCCAGTATGTCTATGTATACTTTGAAGGTTTTTTCTTTCTTTGGTGTTGGCAATTCAAGTCAGCTTAGTACTTAGATCTCAATATACCTTAAGCCCATCATTTATCTATCTTTCTATACCTTTTCGTTGCAACACCATTAAACACTTCACGACTATTTAATAATTTGGGGGACAGGGAGGAAAGTTGGTAGTCAGGGAGAAATATTAGAAAGACCTGATTATAATTTTTGTTGGCTTAAACCATGTTACTCTGCCTAGGACTATCCGTTTACACAGTCCTTGGAAAATTCCCTTTAACTATTTGAATCAAAGGCATTTATTTGTTAGCTAGCAATAGTAAATTTGCAAAAGAGAAGATGTCTAAATCAAATCTTATTTACTGTAACAACTGTGGATTAATCAATCTTTTACTGCATGTTCTTGATAGATTTGGGGTGATAGGACCTCACTGGTAGTATCTTCAAAGAGACATAATTTGGAGGCACATTAAAATTATTCTTAGGTCAGTTTTCTCAACTAGATTATAAATCTAGTAAAGAAAAGTCAGGTTTCTTCAGCTGGCTTATAAAGTCTAGCAAAGATAGGGAACATGTCTCATCTCTCTTCCTATCTTAACGTCAAATGTAGTCCAACCATACAGTGGTCAACAGATGTATCCTATTTCTCTTAGTATCCTATTATCTTAGTGTTTATCAAAGTTCTCAAATACTAGAATTCATATAGATAGTAATTTGTCTTACTTTATCAACTTTATATATTTTAAATCCATTTGAGAATAAAAAAATATGCTGTAAGTAGCAGAAATAAATTTGCCAACATAAAGGGACTCTGGTGGCCTAGTGGTAAGAAAGCTGTGCTGCAATCCCGAAGGCATGCAGTTCAAATCCACCAGCTGCTCCTAAGGAGAAGGACAGGCAATCACCTCCCGTGAGGTTAACTGCTTCTGAAAACCCATCGGAGGGTCAGGTATGGGTCAGTTCTGACTCGACCGCACACAACAACAGCCGAATCAATTTGTTGACATTCTAAAATAATATAACAATTGGCAATTTTGTAAGAGAATTCTCATTTTGAACAGGAAAGTAGACTTAAAAATCATTATCTTCCAATCTGTCCAAGTTCTTTCTCACTTGTGATGCTCCCTCTCAAACACAGATCATTAATTTTTACCTTAAGCGTTAAGCTAAAATTTATATTATGGTCTATACACTCATAAGAAATTGAAACTAAAATTTTTCAAGAGCACACTTAGGCATGGTAATCAGTTTGATGATAGATGACTCCAACGTTACCCCTACTTCTCTTGTCAGTACATAAAATGCAATAGAGATGTTACTCAAATTTCCCCTTCTTGAACATTTAAGCTGTTACAGTCATATTTTCCATGAGTAGAACAAGAAAAATTTAGGCTACAGCCAGTCCAAAAGTATTTCTCCATTCTAAAAAAAGAAAGCCATGTCATATAATACTAAATATAATATTGGATCAATTTGATTCCTTTAAATCTATGTATTCTGGATTATCTCCCAAAATAAGCCTCTTCATAATCTTATCTTCTCCAAGTTGTTCTTTATAAAATGTATCACTGCTTCATGCTTTTCTCTAGATGAGTATTTATGTATATTATGTTATACAACTTTCTTCACAAGTTCTCAGCTATATAAGCAAAACAATATACTAGGAAAACAATAAAATCTTTACACACTGGCCTTTTCCCACGAGTTCACGTCTCACAAATAACTATTGCTCTTTAATATCTGTTTACTAATTCTCTTCATTTCCTACAATGCTTGTCATCATGATGTGCTTATTTGGGCATTCTCAAATGGGCTGCTGCCAGGGTTTGATCAATAAGATTATTGTCACAAAGTCGTCTTTATTTTCTGGTTGGGAAAATGGGACACTTAACTGTTTCCTCATAAAAAAGAAATTTAAGTTATGTTGATCTCTATCTCTACTAACGATGATCACTACTAAACAGGGGCTCTGGTGGCCAAGTGGCAAGAAGCTGCACTGCAATCCCGAAGGCCCGCAGTACAAATCCACCAGCTGTTCCACAGGAGAAGGATGGGCAGTCTCCTCCGTATGATTAACCGCCTCTGAAAACCCGCTGGAGGGTCAGCTGTGTGTCGGTTCTGACTCAACAGCACATAACAACAATGATCACTCTACCCTTTTCGTTTGCTGATTTGTATTCTTTCCGATCAACTAATAGTTACATTAACGTGTACCCTCTTGAGTGCAGAGCATCCTTCTCCCTTCTCTGTTTCTAACATATTCTTATTTCTAAAGTATTTGGAAAAGTCTTTGCTTTTCTTAAAGAATTCTTTTGATTTTGGAGGATGACTCACTACAAATTCCATTATTACCTAAGTGTCTAAACCCGTGGGAAGAAGACTGGCTGCAGAATCAGAGGTGGCTTCCAGGAGCCTGTCTACTTTCCCCGTAGAAGACAGCTGGCTACAGGCTGCACAAAGGGACCAAAGTCACAATCAGAAAGCTTAAGTCATACACACAGTCTCATCCTAACATGATCTTGACATCCTAGAAAGAGCCTTGGAGATCAAGGTTCTGGTTTCTTCCCATTGTTGCATCACAACTGTTATTTTAGAAAATCAAGCTCAAGTCTCAGCTTGCTCATCTGAAAACAAGGGAGTTGAACTAAATTATCTGTAAATTTTATTCACACGCTTGTAATCTACTGTCAGTTGATTCCATTTAGTATAACTGAAATGAGAGAACAGTTCACTTCTTACAGTCAACTGATTGTTTTTTACCTTGATGACTCTCTGGGATGCTCCAGAGATGTAGTGCACAGCCAACACAGATGGTTCAAATCTACCAGCTGCTCCATGGGACAAAGATGAGCATTCAGGGAGATTATGTTGTTATGTGCCGTCGAATCGTTTGCGACTCATAGCGACCCTATGTACGACAGCCCTAAACCTTGCTCTGTCCTGTGCCAATCGCATGGCCTCTGACACACCCATCCCGATTACCCCAGTCACTGAATCAATCCACCTCATAGAGGGTCTTCCCCTCTGTGCAGGGAGATTATAGCCATGGAAAATCCTCTTGAGGGTCAGCTATGAGTTGGTTCTAATTCAACAGTAATGAGTTGGATAAACTGACTGCTCTACGTCCTGGCAGAGTTTTGTCATCCCAACATCTCTATTTCTTGTGACAGACACTGCATATATAACTGTGGAGATGAGAAGATTGCCAGCCCTTTGAGTTCCATGTCCTCTACTAGAGAAGACACTGACATAACATAGCTTTTCACACGAGAAAAACCCAATTTTGCAGCAAAAATTAAGAACTAGGCATTAGGGAAATGTCTTTTCATTCTGTTTCCAAGTTGGCTACATAATATTTTTAAATTTTCACTTATAAGCCAAAGCAAAGTACATTTGCTGCCTACAGACCCTACAGGTATATTTGCAAACTGGTTTTTTGAGTTCTCACATGGATGACACTTTAATTTAAAGAAATAACTTGTGAGAGAAAGTACATTTAGAATAAGGCTTTCTGTGTAACACAGTTTCTTTCCGGAACACAAGCAAGCACTCTTAAGATTCATGGGAGGATCTTCTTCTGTGATCAGGGATCTTAAAAAGCCTCTAAGCTACAACAGAATCGTAATTATGATCAATATTTTCAGTCATAAATAACAAGTATTAAGTATCCACACACTTCTTTGCAAAGAAGCAAATGGCTACACATCTCTTGAATCAAGATCACCAGCTGTTCTGTGGGAGAAGGACAAGCAATCTCCTCCCAGGTGATTAACTGCCTTTGAGAACCAGCCAGTCAGCTACGGGTTGATCTGACGCTACTCTAAATTACACAACAACAATAGAGAAAGGCTTAAGTGAGTAAATTGTTCTGTGATTTTTTTTTTGTTTGTTTTAAATTGTCATAATAGAGAACGTGTAGACCTGAAAGCCATTCTCAACCAACTTTTAATGTTGACATTTTAAATTAATCCTTCTCGGTGGTTCTCAAAACCTCATTCTTATATGTAACCCTTCTATCAACATACTTTCATCCATAAAGAAACTCTCAGGAAAACCAAAGTCAACATCTAATACTAGGAAAACAAGAACCTTAAGGGCAATATTACTCGAAAGAGCACTGCTTCTTTCTCAGAATGAATGTCATAATTCTTGTGACATCTTAAGGTTCATTATGTTCCCAATTTTCAAAACAGCAGCTAAGCAAATATTTCTTCCTGCCTTGTGTGGGTCAAACAATGTTAGTAGATACAGCAATTGGAATGACTCCCTTTCTCAGAGATTAGTCTCAAGAAACTTTTCAAAGCCTATTAATTATGAATGAAAAAAATAAATTCAGAATATATATATATATATACACACACACATACAAAATTGATATATTCTTTCTGGTAATTCTTTGGTTAAGTAAATATTATTTCTTAAGACTGGAACACAATTTTGTAATTTTGCTCTACTTTTTTGATAGAGTACCAATGTGGTTTTTGTTGTGTTTAGATATTATTCTTTTTTAAGAGCAATTTTCAATGCCAGAAAGTGATGGCAGAAAAAGTTTCAAGAGATACGATACCAAAGGAAAAATAACACATGTCCAGGGTTTCTTTCAACAGGAAATTTTGAGGATCTTTTTTATGTCAGATTTTTGGATGAAAGTTTAGTAGTTTGGAAACACTTGATGATTCTCATTTAATCAACCCATTAAGAATTTATCAACATCTAAGCCTCAGGTTATGCCAGGATCCCGAAGATTAGCGGTGGTGGTGGTGGGAAGGGGTGGAGGTTGAACAAATGGATGAAAAGGCTCTTGTTAATGGTTCTTCTGGTAAGCTCCACCACTGGGTTTCCTGGTGGCTACAATACTTTTATAGTGTGTCCACCAAAGATCCTTCTGAATTTTTTCTAAGGGGTCTCTTATTGGTACATTCTCCAGAGTAGTAAATGACAATGCTGATTGAGTGGATAAAAGCCTAGATTACTCCTATTAATGGACTTTTAGGAACTTCATATATTTTATTCCGTAGCACATGCTATTATGTCTAAGAGGCATTAGCAGAGGATCATGGGATAGAAATGCCATCCTTTACCTGTTCTGTAGCCAGTGTTGTTAAGATACACAGCAAAAGTCCGAGGTTCATGCATTGCCTGCCAGGATGGGGAGGAACAGTTCTCGTTGTTGGTGTAGACATTGTGGTTGTGCACATACTTCCCAGTGAGCATGGAGGATCGGGATGGGCAGCACATGGGCGTGGTCACAAAGGCATTGGTGAAGGTGGCCCCTCCATGCTCCATAATCCTTCTCGTTTTGTTCATGACCTGCAGGGACCCTGAAAGGCACAAGCACAACATTGTTTAGCACAGCACAGCACAGCACAGCACAGCACAGCACAGCACACGTACACCCATTTATATCCCGTCACTCAGTGCCTCTGGTCCCCTGATTTATTAATTCCCCTCTTGGGCTGGAAGGAGTCTATAATTTGATCAGCTCTCATTTCCAGAACAAAATTAAACATTTGGGATCCTACCATCTCAAGTATTTTGCAAAATAATAAGCACATTTTTAGCTCCTTGCCTCTTTAATCACAAAGGAAAAAAATGCAGGCTAATCTGATAATTAAAGCTAGAACTTTTGATATGGAGCAGATTCAAAGGTCAGCAGCCCTTTGAAGATTACCAGAGAACAATTGTCTGCTACACAGAGAATCAAAATCCCCCAACCCGGCACACGTGCAAAATGCTAGTGACACTGCCGAGATTACTAGATATGCAGTTCTAACTGTACGAAAGAAAGGAGGGGGAAGAATTTCCTCTATTACATGAAAGTCTTTAAAAAATGCCTGTATTTAATTAAAAAAAAAGATTTTCAGTAGAACTTAAATCCTCTAGCTAAGCCACTAAATGTCTGCCAATTTTTCTATCAGGTCAATACCAACAGTTTGTATTTTGGTCTGCTTACAATTTTATTGCACTAAAGATTATTTGCATAATAATAAAACATCCCATGAAATTGTAACATAGGAGGAAGGGGTGAGGTAGGGAAACTATTTCAATTACTCAGTCCAATCAAACAGTGCAACTGAACCCATTCAATGACTGCAGAAAAGAAGTGAGCATAATTCAATTGTCTTTTCAGGATTTGTCAAGAAATGCTCTAGAGAGCTTCACAGCCAAATCCATTGCGTTTGAATCCTGGAAACTTCAGATTTCCAACAGGTTTTGCTCCTTCCAAAGAAAGGGAGAAAGTCTATGTCACTTTCCAGCAAGGATGGAAACCATAATGCAAACCGGGGAGGCATTTGGAGAAGTGAAGTGTCCAAGCAGCCATGGTTAGCAGCATTCCTGATGTTTTTCATACAGTAGCTTTTGCTGTTCGCATGAAGCATGCAAGAACAAGAGGAAGGTTTTCTAATTGGGTCTCACTAGAGCTGTCTCTCTGAAATAGGCTTCAGTCAGGAGCACTCAGAACTGCTCTTTCTCTTCCGGTCATCTTGGGGGACAAAGCAACCTCTTTAATGGATGAATGACCTTGCTTGAATATCCAGGTCATGCTGCACCTTAGGCTGACCCCTCAAGCAGAAGCACTGACAAAACATGGAAAATCCTCCCGCATCCAGTCCTCAGTGGAGCCTCTGCATGGTGCTAATTGAAAGGAAGAAAGTTCAAGTCCACCGAGAGGCACCTTCATAGAGGTCTGGTAATCGACTGTCAAGAAAAAAAATCAATCACTGAGAAGCCTGTAAAGCATAGTTCTATGCTGACACATGTGGATTCTTCATAAGTGGGAATCAGTTCCAGAGAAACGGACCCTGTTTCACTTGAATTTTCAGGAGAAAAGTATGTAGATGAGAACCCACCTATGAAAATCCCTTGGGGATTTACAAAATAACATAGACATGAGAACACAAAGTATTAGTAAAAGTCATCGTCATTGTCGTCGTCATCATAGTAGTAGTAGTAGTAGTAAGAAGCTGCACTTCTACCCCAAAGACACACAGTCTGAGCTTTCAACAGCTGCTCCAGAAAAGGATGGGCAATCTCCTCCCACAAGATTTGCTGCCTCTAAAAATCCACTAGAGAGTCAGCTATGAGCTGGCTCTGACTTGACAGCACACACCACCAACAACCAGTATATTTAAAGGGAACTCTGGTGACCTAGTGGTAAAAAGCTGCACTGAAATCCCAAAGGCACGCAGTTTGAATCCACCAGCTGCTCTGTGAGAGGATGAGTTGGATAATCTCCCCTTGTGAATTTACTGCCTCTGAAAACCCACTGGAGGCTCAGCAATGGGTCAGTTCTGATTCAACGGCACACCACAAGTATATGAAAATACAGACGGGACGTAAAATGAATGTTTAATAAGAGTTCTGGAAAAAAAGTTGTTCACAGATGGAACAGAGGAAAAGACACTGTAGGATGGGTGAGTGTATAAATAGGAGTGCCAGGAGGAAGGCATATGCACTGGAGCAGTGGAGTGATAGGAACTGCACGTGGATGTCACGGAATAGGAAAAAGTCTCCCTTGTTGAAAAAGGGTGGCAGAGCCAGACAGCTTAGAGGTGAAGGAGAGCTCTGAGGAGAGAGAAAATGATGACAGAATAGGTCGTTTTCAGCAGCATGAATGAAGTGATAAGACAACGGGTGTGTGAAGCATTGCTGTTGCAATTCGCACTAAATAGGTTGAAGGAATAAGACTTGAGATTCATGGAAGAGGGCAGTCACGTGTCTCATTCTGTTAGCAGCTGAACACTTAACCACTGTGCCACTAGGGCTCATTCTGGAAAATCCTATGGGGTAGTTCTGCGTTGTTATGTGGTTTGTGAGCTGAAATCAACTTCCGGGAACCCACCAACAACAATGGAATTGCTGAATCACAGGGGCACTGGTCAGCAGTTAGAGTTTTGTCTTCCATGCAGGACACCCAGATTTGAGCCGGAGCCTGCACAGTCATTACTCGTAGCTTAGTGGAGTTTTGTTGTATGTTGCTGTATTGCAGTTCTGGTGGAGTTCCTAGATTAAAAGAGGTGGAAAAAAATAAAAGCTTGGTGATAAGATTATGAAAATCAGCTAATGAAAATTGTGGGATTACAGCACTCCAATTGGAAAGTGAACATGAGGACGGTACGGATCCAAGCGGCACTTAGTTCCCTTGTGCTTGGAGTTGTCGAGTGTTCTGGGCTGTCTCCACAGAGGACAGCAATAACCACAATGTACTGAGTAATGGTTCCAACAGTGATGTCTGCAAGACTGGAAACAGAAATAAATGATAGCTGTTCACTGCAAAGTGGATCTCAGCTTTTACGTCATCCAGTCATCTCAGGAGCTCAGGCAAAAGTGAACCACAGATCTGTCTTTGTTAGCTGACTATCACACTGGTGGTAAGCACTGTCTCTGGTCAGTTCTCTGGGTAGATGCAGATGAGAGGACATAGGAAATCTGCCCCTTTTCACTGTTGAGTTAGCACATACCACTACAGCAAACACAGCCCGTCATCTTGTTTTGCTATGACTGTACAAGGATTGATGTTGGTCAATCTCATTACCTTGCATTGTATCCATTGCCACTGTGACTAAACCATGGCTTTTCACTGGGAAACTACAAAAAATGATTCTGTACAATAACTTACAGGCATTTAAACCTGTCAAGAATAGTGGAGGGGATAAATTTTCTCTTATGTGTGTGAAGCTTCAGTTGCTCACTTCTTTAGGTCTTAGTTAGGACTTAGGTGCCCTACAATGCAAATAGTGCTGGTTTATGGACAACGGAACACTGTATGACAGAAATGATATGGGTTTAAGGTTGAAAACACAGAACAAGATTATGAGATGGAGCACAAGGAAGATAACAAGACAGAGGACCCTGGACTCGGGGGGGGGGGGGGGGGTGGGAATCTCAGAGGGCACTCATGAGCCATCTAAAGCCTCTTGATTTGCATTTTTCAGCTGTGAAATGGGACTAGCTTATCTACCAGGACATGTCATTACATTGTTAAAGGCGGCACTTAAGGAGATTTATAAAGGCTGTGGTGGTTTCCCTTTGTGTTTTATTTTCTCTTGCCTTTTCCATCTCTCTCCATGTAATCCACATCTGGCTTCCAAAAACTGGGATAAAAGAAAGAGGCAAATTATTTTTTTTCAATGCTTTAATATTGAAAATGTTGATGTTGGCTTATGAGTAAGAATATCAAAGGTATCGCTTCTCTTCCTTTTCCCCCACATCATCTCCCCATTTTGTCGGCAAAGAGCCTGGCTACTTTGTTGCTCTAAACCATCCCACCAGGTGGACGATTGGACAGGGCTGCTGTGTAATTAGGTTCCTGGAGCTGGCGTGGGGGCACTGCTGACTGGGCTGGCTCGAGGAGAAGGAAGGTTCAGGGCACAGCTGAAGCCCAGCACTGCCAAGAAAAGTTGTTCCAGTGCCAGAATTCCATGTTGGGGCTGGAGACGTTTGCCATTGCTCCTGCAGGGATGTGGGCAGCTGTAAAAGTAATCAGCTGTGGACCAGGATACTGGGGTGGTCAGGCCAGTGGTTACTGAGAGTAGGAGAAGTGGCAGCACTCTGAAATCCTGTGCAGTCCACCAACTTTGCAATTTTTGCAGAGATTTTTTTTAAAAAACAACACCCAAAAACAAGGTTCTAGGAATAGGGCCTTGAATGGAACGTGTGATGGGCTATTGGCACTGGCCAAGACCGTGGCAAGAAATTTAAATCATTCTACACAAGCCAACTAACTTCCTCCCTACTCATCTCTGTGAAAAAGGTCAGGATGGAGAAAATGTCCCATTAATCTGAATAACTTTGCCAAAATCACAAAGAGGTTTCAAATAATATGTAAAATTTTATAGCAAATCTTTAGCATTCTTGATTATTCTTTAGCTTTTGATTATCAATGCAAACCTTTCAACTGTTTAGCAGGTCCAGGGAGATTCACAAAATGAGAAATGCAATAACAAATATCATCATTTTCATCACTTATGCAAATGCTAGACATGTGGGATTCACGTGCACCTGGCTTCCTAGAGAGACCACCTCCACCAGGACTGCAGCCGTCTGCTGTGTGAGGAGTGGCAATGACAACCTGCTTCTACTCTGACCCACGGTGAGCCATGTGTGGCAGGGCAGAATTGTGCTCTGCAAAGTCTTCAATGGCCGCCACCTCAGAAACAGTCTACCAGGGCCTGTCTTCTGTGGGACCAACAGGTGGATTCAAAGTGTTCGATGCAGGGGTAGCAGGTGAACATAGTAACGATTTGAATCACCTGAAAATCTTAAGATAAATTGAACTCTTCTATTTTATAGATAAATATTTATATATACTTATATTTTA